CGGTTCAGATGCAGCCCATCCTTGGTTCTTACTTTATTAGCATATTAGCTCCATGCCACAGGAGCAGTATATTTATACCGGTATATGACACACTGGAAAGGTTTATTTGTGAGTATTGGCACTAACAATGAGGGCATTCTTCTGTCATCTGATGATAAGCTTTCTTCCCTTCCACTGTGGTCACATGGGATCTCTGCAGTCCTGTCAGCACACATATAATTAAAGCAGACTGCTGTCAAGGAATTGAAGAAAGAACTTGCATATTGAATGTAAATATATTCTGTACCTTATGGAACAGAAATATGATCAAAGATCGAATGACCTAATTGCAAGGAAGTCTCTGATCCAGGTTTTATGAGTGAGCCTGTTGCCCAGGAAGACTGGTGCAAGGTCATTCTGGTCCTGTGGTGTTCTCCTGTGTTCAGAAAAGGGACTTTTTGCATGTGTAACTGACAGCCCATGTGCAGCAAACCTGTTCCTGAACAATGCTGCTGTTATGTGCATCTGAAAGCAGAAATAAAAAAGGCATTTTCCACAACGCTCTCCCAATCCTCTTCTATTTCAGTGCCCAACTTGGAGTTCAGTGGATCTAATTTGCACTATGTTTGCACCATATTGTTGCACTCTGATAGCTCTGTTCCAAAACTATAAGGACACCCCTATGAAGTGGTCCCTCGCAAGGGCAGGGGGATCTGAAGTAAAACTCTTCCTGTTGTTAGTTCATGTGATGTACTTCTGCAGGCAGCGTGGGCCTCCATCCTTTCCTGCTGCTTGTCCCATTTCATGCCCTCTTACTTCCAATGATCCCAGTGTCTTTGTGCCCTGCAGCCTTCCCGGCAGCCACAGTGGAAACAGGGGTGTAAGGGGCAGAGTCAGGAGCGTGGTGCAGAGGGAGAGGCAAGCTGCCACAGCAGCAGTCTCCGAACTTGGCTGCCTGTGTTTCATTCCCAAATCCAGCTGATAAAAGCTGGTGTACATTGCTGTCTGTAACAGCTAGGTTATCTGAGGGTACAGGCTATCTGAGGACATGATTTCACAGAGGAGTACTTTCATCCAGGGTGGCATGAAACTCAAGTTTTACATGTGAAAACACAGTAGTGCTGTAATTTGCTTGTTATACCTTGATAACTTATGCCTTCACTGCTCCCTTGTGCCAGGCAAAAACCCCATATCTGCACAGCCTGAGTGCAGAGCCTGTGTGCCTCTGAATGCTGCCTAAGTGATGCAAAGGCCTCTTACTCTGTGCACTGACATCACTATACTTGTTGCTACATTCTGTGCCAGTGCCTTCACTTTTAGATGGAAAGCATTGGATATGGATAAGGAGAAACCTGGATCCTGTCCCCAAGGGCAAATGGGATGTCCAACCTGACCATCTTACTTGGGAGGAAGGATGGATAGAGCAGCCCTCTCAGAGTTGCTTGCTCTCTAGGAGGGAAAGCCAGGAAAATCTGCATGCATAGATCTTGCAGGCCTGCTGTGGCTGCTCCTCTGGCATGATGCTGTGGATCCTTCAACCCCTCCCCTCCCCTGGGCCTAGAGGAGAGCTGCTGCGTTTGCACATTGCAAGCTGTATTCCTCCACATTCTCACTGCATTGCTGGATGTCTCCATCTGGGGGATATTTTTAGACTTCACACTTGCAAGAAACTGTTTTTGGAAGACGTGCGGCTGCTTTGTCCATGTCATCACATAGTGAACCTTTTGCTTCTTGCTGTGTAGTTCAATATACAGCTGGAAAACCAGAGTTATCACCTTCCTCTCCAAAGCAAATTCCTCCAGAGAGGTGACTCCTGCAGATAACTGACATCACAAAGCAACAATTGCAAACATTACTGTCTACTTTACATTTTTATGCCTACTAAAAGTAACAATTACTTTTTGTTTTCTGAACTGGTCTTAAGATGCAGGTGTCTAATAAACGGTTCCACAGACAGTTTTTTCTAAACCGGGCATCTCTGAGGATAAATGAGTCACATTCTTACTGTAACAGTTAATCCTCAGCAATGTCTCTTCCTGATAATCCTCTTTCTCAAACCATTACAGGCCTGGTACACATTACCAGGTAGAAATGAGTCTACTTATGTTCCAGATGTGCACTTGCTGTTTGTGCATTTATTGAACTTTCACTTACTTCACAAGGATTTCAGCAAGCTACTAATGTTCTCAAACTGGTCAAAAGCAATCAGTTGAACATGAAATCACAGGTTTTGGCTGTAATCATCACTGCAGGATCTTGCTGTTACATTCTATAGAGACAGACATGCCTGAAATGAAAAAGTGAATATATATGGAGCGAAAATAGAAAATCATATTGCATTTAGCAAAAGAATACATTTATTAAAAAACATGTTTTCTGTAAGGAAACAGCATCTACCTCCTATTTCCCACAGTTATTTCTTCCTGTTGAGAATAGTTTGTCTTTCTTGGCATTATTATCTATCATGCAATAAGGATAACAGTTGAGTCCTGACGTAATTCAAGAATCAAATTTGATCAGAGCAATCTAATGACATAAACTGAAAGGACAGCCTCTCAAGGGATTGTGATTCAAGCCTGAAGTGGGATACAGTGGCTTTATTTTGCTCACATAATACTCTCCTCTGCCATCAGTATAAAAGATCTGGAAGTTGTTTTGCACAGCATCTTGTGCTTGCCTTCAGATTCCATCTGATATCGTAACAGTGCTGCATCTGAGATGAAACGATACTTCTGAGATCTTCCAGAACATCTAGTCCTCTCTGCACTTTCTCAGGGGTCGCCCTGAACTCTCCCATACAGTCACACACATGTAGACATTTTCACACCCAGTCTCAAGAGAAATGCTGATTTTGGTGCAGAACTGGAATGGAAATGGATTGCTCAGGTGGTCCTTGTGAATTTATAAGTGTTGTTACATAATGTAAGCTTTTAGAGAAAAAAGTACCTGACACTTTAGCAAAGCAGTCTCATTCTGCAATCCCAGCAGAAAATTGTGGGAGTGATACTGGTACCAATTTTCTCTCCTCCTCACTAAAGTAAGGCAGAGTGTGTTTTGTCCAGCTGAAGAGGGCAAGTGATAGAGTAGCTTTGGTGGATGGGTTCTGCAGCAGTGCAAGCTCCTGTGCAGGCAGTGCACTCACACCGGCAGGGACACACTAGGGCAAGATTCAGCTTAAAATTGTTCTAATATCCCAAGCCTTGCAGAGGGGAGACATCCTCATCATGTTTCCATTTTATGGTCCGTGTACAAACTTGATGACAAAGTGTTGATGCCTGTGACAGACTTGAAGGCTAAAAACTGAAAAGCAAAAAGTACATCTAAATACAAAAAAAGTGTGCTCCCTCCCAGTTTGTTCAGGTTGCTTGTCCTCCCTGTTTAGCAGTGCAGAGGCAGAGGTGCAGCCCCAAAAGCTGCCAGTTAAAACAGTTAACTGTGGTCACACCAGTCTCACTAGAAAACCTGATGGGAGAAGCATTGATAACACAACTGTCCTTTCTGGGTGTCAGTGGTCAGCATAATTGCAGAAGAGGCTGGGGATGATGATCCATTTGATTTGTGGCATTTACACCACTCAGTGGAGGATGGCTCAAAGTCCTTTCTCCTGAAAGCTGCAAGTCCAGCTCCAGGTCATCACCTACACCTTGGCTGGTGTTGTACAGGTGAGCTGCACGCTGTTTGATGCTCACTTGAGTGCTCATGACCTCGCCCTTGACAATCAATTCAAACAGCTGCAGTATATCCAGTACTGGCTATCAGCAAGCAAAGCATCAGATAGCGCTTGCTGTTGCCTCATTATACAGCACGCTCCCTACCAGAAGTTGACACGCAGGCGTAACAGTCTGATCCTCAGCAGAGATTCACGTCCTTTGCCACCCAGCAATAAAAGCCTGTGCTGTCAAAGCACGACCTGGGTAATGCAGAGTATGGTAATAATAAGTCCATCTTTGTTGGTACTCTGCACCATCTTGTGGCTAGCAGAAAAACATCAGAAAAGCCTCTGAAATCTTTCACTTGTTTGTTTTGTTTTTTTTTTTGTGTGTGTCTGTGTATGGTTTTCCTAATGAAAAATACAGATTGTCAGTGAACACAGATAAAATTCTTTGTACTTTGTACAGCTGACAAGGATGTTTGTAGGGTGGCTTATGAACCAACGAAAGGGAAGACCATCATTAAGGATAAGTGGGTTGTGTGTAGGTCCTATAACACACATAAATTACCTCTTTTTAGGAGACTTGCATTTCCATGTATTTGGAAAAAATCAGATATCCTAGTTCTTAAGTATGGAAAAACAGTTAAGAATGTCTTGAACCAAATGACCTCTGTTTTTCCAAGACATGTTTGTTATTGATCATTAAAGGTTTTCCCATAGTCTCCTGTAATTCCTTTGCCTCTTTCAAAGAAGTATTTTTAAACAGAATTACAGGTTGCATTGTCATTATTAGCAACATTGTCTTCTTTTGGAAATTTGGCTTCCTGTACCTGCAGCCCTCAGCCTCCCATGAATAGACTCAACATTCCATTGTACAGAGCAAAGGTTATTCCAGTAAAGCTGATTTATAGTAAACACGACCTTTTTCTTCCACAGGAACATATTTCCTCCCATCCTCCAAACAGATGTCAGACCAATACTGTTTTTTCAAAGGAGTAGAAGGGCATCAGCTCTCCCTGAATTTCAGTGTGACAAAGATCAAACTCTCCTGTGCTCCATGGAAAATTTCTGCTCAAGTACATAACATCAAAGCCATGGGAGCTGGTGATGGGTTGTCCCCATACTGCCAAATGGATGGTTTCCTTCACCAAATCATGTCTGCTTTTAGAGGAGGGAGATGGGATGATACTCGGTCTGATCGGGGTTTGCCACTTCTTATGCTTCTTTCCTGCTCCCTATGGCAATTTGGAAGTTTCCAACAGGCACCAGTTACGTTCCCCCATGGCTGTGCAGCACAGGCTGGGTGAGCAAGCAGCATTATGGTGCTCCTCACAAACCTCCCTCTTTTAAACAGAAAAGATGGCCCCGCAGGTGGGGGGGTCCGCAACCCCTGCCACTTCGCTGCAGGAGGATGAAGAACAGGTTAGCAGACGCATGATGGCCAAGAGAGTGAAAGTCATTGCAGAACTCATGCAGACAGAGAAAGACTATATCAGCGACCTGGATCTCTGCATCAGGGAAGTGATTCAACCCCTGAGAAGCAAGCAGGTGAGTGATGGGGGCGGAGGATGAGGCACTGACGTCAGGGTCTCAACTCACCCACGTCCTGCGTGCAGATAATCTTAATGCAAGCACAAGTGTTGGCATGAGAGTGTCGTGGTGCCAGGAGCAGGTCCAGAGCTGGCTTTCTGGAAGGATGTGCCAGGGCTCTAGCAAGGGGAGCAGGAAGTCAGGTATGCTCCTGACACTTGCGCTGCCCTCGCATAAAGCCTGCATCAAGGTACTTGCCCAGAGGGCAGCTTGAATGCTATATCCCTGCTTGTGGGCTGTAATAGCAGCTTCCACGTCTCTTCTGCTCTCTCTTCTGCCTGCTCTGTAATTATAAACCCTGGTACATGCCCTGGCAGACTTTCTTGGGCACCTCCAAAACCAGTAAACCCAAGTATTTTCCATGATAACAACCCAGGATGGCATGCTGCTCCCCATCGAGGTTAAATTCAATTGTAAAGATAACTTTACCCAGCCTTTCTGACAGCTGTGCTGTAAAAACACCGTGCCTGACAGACCAGTGAGCACTTCAGAAATTTGCATTCTACACAAAAAAAGGTACATTTAAGAAGATCGTAAGGAAGGCTCATAAACTGTCTTTTAGGCAAATGGTTTTATTAGGCCAATGGTACCCATTTTCTTTTTCAGCTAGGACTTCAAAGAGCACTTTTCCTCAACATTATTTCAATTTGTAGAAAAATTGTGCAGCCAAAGGCTGGGAATAGAAGAGACTGTCCAGAGAAAGATTCGTAATTGTTAGGTCTACAACCTAGCATTCACAGAGGCAGCACAAATGATATCTGCTGCTAATACAGAATCAAAGTAATTTTAAAAAGCCCTTAAACCAAATATTCTGTAGGTAGGACTTCTTATGAAATTGGTGACAAAATGTCACCATTTTGTAGATGTAGGGGTCAAAGTATCTTTAGATGATGTTGGCACTGACTCTTTGGGAAGTGTTGTGGCCAGCTGCAGCCTGTGCTGTTTGAGCTCCTGCAGGACCTTTTTTTTCATTCTTAAAACTCTGTCAGAGTTTGTTCCAACCCATTTTCAGAACTACCACTATCTGCTGGCATACCTTTAAGGAGTTCTTGACTTCCTTCTTCCTTGACTTGTTCATCTACTTCGAAACAGTCTCCACTTGACTCTCTCTGTAGCCTGGCCAGCACAGAGTGAGAGTATTTCCTGGTTGAACCTGCGAGATTTTTGACAAGTGTGCTGTATTCCTTTGCTCTTTTTCAGCCGACTGAAAACATGTTTCAGTTCTGTCCTTTGTCACTGTATTAATGTGTGTAAGCATCCACACACAGCGTATTTCCAAGTACTATGTAGGAATTGTGCTGGAGTGGAGGTCGGAAGTCCTGTGCTAGATTTACACAGGAAAAGTAATTTAGAGGTTATAACTGTCCTAATTTAATAATCTCTGCATTTTTGAAGGGCTTTCAAGAATGTTGTATGGTTTTAAGGCTAGTTCTTGGATAAACTACCATATTGAAAGTTTGTAATGTGTTTAGAGAAGGATAGCATTTAGAAAATTGACCTAGCAATGAATCTGTTTCATATTGCCAAATGGATAAAACATGTTTTAGCCCCTATAATACTTATAAAGAAATTAACTGCATTAGTACTGAAAGTACATTTCTGATTCTGTTACAATAGTATGCAATTTGATCCTCCTGGCATCTGATAAGCTGTTAGGTAAGGCAGCAATTAAGTTCCTAATGGAGAGAGATCTTCAGAGAGTATCTATACAGATGTAAAAATCAGTCTTGCATTTGTTCTCAGTATTAGCACGTTACCACTGGCTATCTCCAATTGTCACTGAATATTAACTAGTGCCCTACTATGGAAGGAAATAAATAACTACTGCATGAAAAGTATGTGTCCTGGAAATGAGTAGGGACACAGAACCACATTTTCTGTTGGTGTGAACTGATGCAGTTCACTGAAGTAAATGTGTGCCCAAGCTCTGTAGGAAGCTCTTTAGGTTGTATTAATACCCAGAATTGTAAATGTGTTCCTTTTAGTGGAAATTATATGATCTTGATTACATTTTTGGCCATATAGGACAACTGACTTAAAAGGCTACCACCATCTGGAAGTGTTTTACCTGGTAGCTGGCACCCAAGTCTCAGTTTCTGTAGCAGCCTCTGTTAGCAACTGGTAATCAGGGAATGAAGCCTACTGTCAACTATTCTTTTCCTCAGTGGGAAAGTGAACAAATATTTTAAAGGGTCTTTTCTTTATTCAGATGATAATGTTTATTTCCTTCCTAGGTAAACACTTTCCGATTAGGAATAGTTCAAAATAAGGTTAAAAGCACTTGATAACATGGCCTTTGTTAGCTGTGTCAACTGTGTTATACTCATCTGAAAACTGTGTTTGTGTCCTTGAAGCCACAAGGAGGATGTTTATATGAGGTTTTGCAGAAGTGGTGCTTCCTGGAGTGTTGAACACCCAGGACGTAGCAAGAGAAGGTCTCTAATACACAATGTCCTTCTTTATCCTTCCTCAGTAGCTGCTCAATATTTGTATTCCATTAGATTGCTCACTTTGACGTGGATGGCTTGTTTAGCAACATTGAATTGGTCCATCAAGTATCAGCCAAACTGCTGTCATTGTTGGAAGAAGCCACGACAGATGTGGAGCCACCCATGCAAATAATCGGTATGTTTACTGTCCTCTTGAGTTCTACAAAGCTACATGAAAGAATAAACATAACACTTTCCTGTCCTCTACCCTCATCAGACTTAACTAGTACCACTCCCAGAGGCTAACATGCTACAAGATGTCCATAATGACACAGGAAATATAACATGTGAAGCCTGTCCAGTTGTTCTACTGTACTCATATGACCATGATGCTCTTTTTCCATCCATCTGGATGTTGAGGGGCAGGAAGGAAGGAAGGAAGGAAGGAAGGATGGAGCAAGTGAGTTTAGCATGAGTAAAAAATTCAGCACTGAGTTATGCCACATACTGATAATAACCTTTTGGTCTAGTGTGATATTGCCTACCTGACTCTGCCCATGCTTACCCCAGCTCTTATATTGCATACTTATAATACGCCATTAAAGAAAAGCATTAAAAATTATTGGAATAATAAACACATCACCACCCCGCCCACAAACATTGTTAACATGTATATACTGGCAATACAATTCATGTAAGAAGTGGTTAAGTGTTCTTGACAAGGTTATGGTCCACAAAGGCAAGAAAGCTGTAACTGCTATGAAGTTTGTGGGAATCTGTGCAGGAATGTCTGTAGGGATCATGAGTATTTTCAGCAAATGGGTTGGCCCTAGATATGTCACAACAGTCACATGTTCTGCAGGTCAGGCCATGAATGTTAAGGCTGTGATCTATTCACCTGATATTTTTGCACAGATGGAGAGATTTAAGAAGTTACCACTCATCAGTTCTCCCATAACTGCTTCTTCAGGGCAGAGACAATGGGTGATCCACCTTAAGGGATCAGGAGAGAAATCTTTATTTGCTTCAGTGCAAAGTCAGCCAGTTTAGTTTAAAAAACATCCAGCCATGATTCATCACTGACCACGCAGCACAGGTGACATATTACAGAAAGAAGTCCTCTTGCAAATAATGGGGTAAAAAATTATCAACTAAGAAACATGATATTAAAGCATATGAGGCTTGGGAAAAGTATTAATCCACCACGTCTCAATCTGGTTTGCCAAGGCAACAGCTTAACGTAGTTTGATGCAACTGTGTTGTTTGGCAGTATTTCAATAAAAGTGCATCATGGTGAGTCATACTCTTAATAAGCAATGTTCTATTCTAGCAGGAAGTGCCTTTCTCACAGCCAGGAGAATCATCCTTTTAGTTCCCTACCACATCCAGAAGCAGAGACAAACAATTTTATCCATCTATTAAGGTGTATTTCCCCAGAAACAAAGGACCATGAAAAGGTATGGGATTGTGGGTAACAGAGTCGGCTAACTTATGGCAGAGGTCTGAGACATTCCTTCCCAGGCTGAGACAAAAGCAGGGAGAATGATTGCATCACTATAAGCAATAACTTAGTAAGTTTGTCATCCTCTACAAGTACGTAAAGGTGATAATTTTGTTCTCAGAATCTTTATAATCAGTGTAAAGGTTGTTAAAGCCAGTCTAAGGAAAAAGCAGGCTGAGAATGTTTAACACACACCCATCTTATTCTGTTGTGTTTATGGTGTGTAAACATTTTGCACTGAAATACCTTGCTTTGGAAGTCAACCCAGTCTCAGTGAGGTTCAGGAGAACTGCTAATTCACTGGTTTGAAATGAAAACAATGTGGTTGATCATATTCAAGTCTTATTTTAGCCTATGTTCTTCACACCTTCTGCTATGTCCACATTGACAAGTAGTAATGTCCAATAGCAACAGACTTGTAGAGTGAAAGAGTTGCTGTTAAGGGCCTGGTACCATACCACACATTTCAAGAGGTCTTAGTTCAAAATGGCTGTAGTCTGTTCCTGTGGATTGAGAGATGCCCTTTATGGTTGGACAGTGTAAGATGTGTCATTGGAGTGCAACTTCTCCTAATTACCGTCCTCAAAGAGATCCAGTTTGTGTGTCTGTGCCTGCTCCACCACACAGCCCAGGCATGGGAGATGAGGACTACTGAGAGACTGGCTTCAAAAGCCCTTCTCCTAATCTGAGCTAAAATGTTGATGTAGACAGAACGTTTGTGGTGCTTGGTCTTCTGATGCTAAACACCACTGAGGTTAAATACCCTTTCTAGTTCTGTCCTGTAGTTTTTCTCCCCTCTGTTCTGGATACTGTATAGTTACATGCAGTCGTATACAGAGGCATATGAAGAGTCAGTAACCTTACCCTGGCTTTAGCTATGGGTAAAGATTACTTTACCTTCAGTCTCCCTCTCCTACTGCTGTCCACACAGGAAAGCCACAGGGAGAAACTCTTTCTGTTGCTCAGGGCTTCCTTCTAGGATTTTCTCTTTGAGACTTGTGACCACCACACTTAAGAAGAGTCATCAGGCAGATTTTCATCTGACAGAGTGCAAAAGACTCCATATTTTTAAAGCTGTGCCCAAATACAATGTGGTTTTGGTCCGTAAAGCAAGATCCCACAGTGATACGCCCAAAGCTCATCTGATTTGGTCCACATGGCTCAGAACCAGCAATAAATCTGTCTGCTTTTAAAAGAACCTATCTGTAAAATCAACACGTGATTCTTCTTGTCATTGAGCATCAGTGAAAGTGTCTGTCATTGTGGCACAATACATCAGTGAACAGATCTTGCTCATCTCTTTCATTCTGGAGAAGAGAATGAAAATTTCCAGCCTCTAGTGTATGCTGAAATGAGCTGTAAGTTTACAGCTTGCATTTTTGCTACTCAAAATGTAACCTCACTCGGGGGCTGAGTGTAGAGCAGGCCATGCAAAGCACTTGAGGCTCTGCTGAAATTTAGTGAAAGCTGTGAGAGCTCAGCGCCGCTGAGAATCAAGTGCCAAGGGAGCAGGAGCAAGAGGAAGCTTGTTAAGGTTTCATCTTACACTGCTGGCTAATGAAGGCCTGTATAGAGAGTTCATGGGAAAGTCAGGAAGCTATGAGCATTGGCAGCCATCAGCATTAGCACTAAGCACAAGAGAGAGAATAGAGACAGCTAAAGAGCACTTAACTATAGGGTGATGGTGCTTGTCTGGCTGGGGCCTTCCAGTAAGTAAAATGAACTTGTGTGGTCTTAGCTCCACCGTTGTTGTCCCCTTATTCACACCTTGATACCAACATGCATCAGGCAGCCCAGTTAACCTTTGCTGCTAGGGGAAAAAACCCAGAGCTGTGTTACTGTGGTAACTGAGTCATTTTTCACTTTAAGACGGAGCAGTTCAATGCAGTGTATTATGAAACAGCCCACTTTGGTCAGGATGAAACATGCAGGATGCCTGACAGCTTGGCGCTCGGTCTGTGGATGAATAGAGAGCTCCCAATTAATGTGGTGTTCAGCTTTTAACTTTCATAATCATCGCTATAACTCAGCAGGAATGTTTATAAAACGCCGGACTGGTTTCCACATAGGTGTCATTTTCAGTAAATGCCTGAGACAGGCGTTTTCACTGTTGCTGTTTATTATATGCTTTTCCAAGGATGCTGATCAAGGTGCTGCTATGTAAGGGTGTAAGAACTGGATGAGTCTCTCAGCAGAAGAGATGAAGCGTGCCTCCTCCACCCGGATGATGTTTCTTACATTCACAGGAGTTTCAGGCTGAGCGAATTAGGCACCAGAATTAAATGGGAAATGAGTGCAGGACTACTTTAGTGCCTCTAAAATTCCCAACTGTTCTTTGGAGGAAAATGGTGGTGTGGAGGACTGAAAATGGAAATGTTTTCTCCCTTCAGTTGTACATAAACCTAGATACTATATAAAAATGGCTGTAATCCACTGTGATTTTATTTAAGTAGGGGAGGGGTGGAGTTTGTTCCTCTGTCATGTGAAGAAAAATCTCTATTCTAGGCCATAAAAATTGCTATTTCAGGATTTTGCAAAACATATAAAAGTGAAATGGCTAATGGGAGATGGTAATTATTCCTGTTATAACCCACTTAAGTTCATATTCAGCTGAAAAAAATGTCAAAAGGAAAATTAACAGGCTTGCATTCATCCCTTCTGCCAGCCCATGACACAAAAATGATCTCCCCTCAACAGTTAAGCTCTCCTGCGTGGTTTCCACTGAAAGGGCATTAAGCTGGGGGAGTGAATTAGGGGGTTGTGTATGTAGGGGTGTGAGGTATAGAGATTTCATGCCTTTTCCTGAGGGAATTTTTGTGCATTAACACTGATATAATGGTGCCTCACTATGACAAAGATGAGCAGCTGAGAAATACATGTAATAAATAATGCACATAAACACACAAGATCGTTTTTAAGGGAAGTAAAGTGGAAGCCAGCCTTTTTAGCTCACGGCTAATGTGGTGGAATAATAAAACTCCTTCTGAGATGCTGTTGTCTAGCTTGACACGCTTTGTTTTTCTCCTTAACAGGGGAAGTGTTCTTGCAGATTAAAGGCCCACTAGAAGACACATATAAAATCTACTGCTATCGCCACGATGATGCACACACCATGCTGGAATCCTATGAAAAGGATGAAGAACTGAAGCAGCATTTAAGACACTGTGTACAGTCCTTAAGGTAAGATCTTTTCAAATGATGATTTCCGTCCATAGTCAGTTGCCTGGCAGGGAACATTTTAAATGGATGTAGATGAAAGGTCCCCTGTAAATCTGGAGTTTTATGAGGCTTGCTGGGAGCTCCGGCTTATGCTGCTTTCATGAAAAGATGACAAGCCAGGGGCCATGATTAGATTTCTTTCTTTCTAAGATGGCCAAAAATAGCACAAGAAAGGTTGCTCTTCCTTTAGCTTCAGTGCCCCATACTGGCAAAAAAAAATCCCAGTGCTTCCTGTCTTGGGCTATTTGGAACACCTTGCCCAGCTCCCAGGAAACTTGCTGCCCCCTTCTTCAGCAATTCTATAGCTTGAATTAAAACACCCTCTAACGGAGCTGTTCACACGCACTGGTGTCTGGGTTCCTGTTGCAAGGCCCCAGGGATCTGAAGTGGCTGTGTGGTGCAGGACCCCTCATGATGGGTGCATTTGAAAGTGATCAGTGTTGGAGCAAGCTGCCAGGTCCCACCAGTGGAAGGTGGTTTTTGCTGTTGGTTCCAGTGCCTTGGGGAAATGTCTCAAGAACTGAGGATGCCACAGAATAACAGATCCATCTTTCCTCCAGTGCAGCTTCCTCCTGCAGCCAGTTGCAGGAACCAGCTCATTCACTCCATGGAAAGTGCTTCTCTTCCCACTCATAAATCCCTTTGCCCCCTGACTTTCCAAAACACATCACACAGCACGTCAGGAGGGAACACACCACGGTCTTTCAGATCAGAGGTCTAGCTCTAGCTCCAGGAAAAGCCCATGTTGCATGCTTGCAGGAGCAATGTAAAGCTATCACAAGTAATGGAGTGTACATTAGCAACAGATATTTCAACCACAGCCCAGTTAGTGATCTGCCTGCAGAGATGTGTTAAGGAGATGGGAAGTACGTCCAAGCAAAATCTGGAAGGAGTGGTTGAGGAAAATATTAGCAATATTAAAAGCGAAATGTTCACTTTGAAGACAGGTTATTTTGAAAGTAGGGCTTATTCTGTGCAACATGTCCAGTTGTTAAATGCGTAACGAAGTATGTGTGCAGCATACTTAGGCTTTAACTACCCTGGAAGTTGAAAGAAAGAGATTTTCATATAAACTCAGTCTTTTGGGCTGAAGGATGGCCAGGTATCTCTCCTGAGGGGGTGTTAGTTGCTGATGCCAACAATATTCTTTTCTGGCTAATCAAGAGAAGCCACTACTGTCATTCATTCATCCCTGCTGCTGAGTCAAGGGAACATGGAAGGAAATAAAGATAAAAGATAAAAGATAGTGACCACATACATGCTAGGGTGGATGCTGCCACTTGAATTCCAGAGCCAGCAAGAAGAGCTCCTGTTCCAACATCACAGCTGGGATTTGTGAAGAGAAAGGATATTTTGTGCTGAGCCACTGTGTAGCCTTTGCTAGCAGGAAGTGACAAAGCCTTCCTCAAAATGAAGCCTTGTTTTTTCTTCTTCTTTCTTGATTGGCCTTTAAACAGGAACCAACAACAAAAGCACTGGTGCATGTATGCTGCATTGTGTTTTTTTCCAGTGCCTAAAAATTGCAGCCAGTTCAGATATTAAGACCTGAAGGTGCACACTCAAATGCAGAGCTGTGTTCACCTAAGCCTGTTACTACTGGTTGGATAATACTTGCCCTAAGAAGAAAATGACACAGCATTTTTACCAAATAAGTTGTAGTCTGTTATAAATGTGGGGGCTGATGATGACTGTTCTTGAAAAATGTTTACTTCTTAAATAATTTTTTTCTTTCCTTGGAAAGAATACTGTTCTACTTTTTTTTTTTTTTTTTTTAAGTTAAAATGGGCTAACATCACTAGGGGCTTCCATTCCTCAGCTGAGTAGTATCTGCCATGTGAAAAACAACCTCTGTATCAGGGGCAATTTGAGAGTGGCAGTCTGCACATCTGTACAGACAAATCAGATTTAATTAGTCATGCTAAATTCCTACCCCTCCTGTTGACTGAAGAGGAGAAATTCCATCCTAAAATGTAGTTGTCTGCCTTGGAGAGACGTGCAAATCCATATTCTGTAGAGTCCTGTGTCCAGCAGCAATTATGCAAACGGGGGATGTTGTTTGCTAGCTTAGCCAAAGAAATGCAGCTGGTAAAAATGAAAGGATGCTGACAACTACCTGCTCTGCTTTCAGCCTGAAGTAGCTTGGTCAACTATTACAGGGGCAGAGGGATGCCATAAGCACACAAAGTGCTGACAGTGCAGAAGCAATCAAAGCACAAGCTTCCAGATGCTCACTTAGGCATCAGTGGGCAAGGAGAAAAGAGTGCAGGCAGCCAAAAAGCAGCGGCTGATGTTGTGATGTCAGGAAGGCCTAACACAGAGATGGAACAACATTTTGATTCCCTTGAACGTGGGCGAATTCATACCATAAGGAAAACTCCTATGCCCGTTTTTGCATGTTTCCAAACTACAGTCATACGCCCCTGCTGCTTTTGGTGTATGTTTCAACACTATCCTACTCTGAAAAAGTTTCAGCTGATGGGTAGCCCACAAAAAACTTAACAGCTTCCTTGAGTCTATATACTAAAAGACTGAAATATATTCTTTCTCATTAGAAATACAGTTCTATTTAAGGAGAGTAGATGGGAATTCATGTAAAGTGTAAGAATTACATGTTCATTTTACTGTTTCTGTTAAGGACCTGATGTTACTTGCTATTGTTAGCACAGTGATCCGAACTTCCTTCTGTAACCGTGTTAGGACAAGGCTGGGTCTTACAGCCAAATCTGGGTTTCTGACAATCCTTTCTTATTTGGGGCCTTTTGAAAAGATATAGGGCCAAATTCACTGGTACCCTCTGGCTGTTTTGTGCAGTTCTGCTGACACATAGCAGCCATAAACCTAAGTTAACTGGTCAGTTACAGCTGCTCTGTGTCACTGAAGTGTATCAGAGAATCTGGTCCCTGATCTGTATAAATCTCTTTAGGAGGAATCTAATAAATGTTTTGTTTTCTTCTCTTTTGCAGAAAGATATATGAGGAAGAGTAAGTACTATGTTTTTCTTACATGTAAAATAATCTTTAAATCATCTTTACTTTATTTTCAGTATGCTTAAAACTGTACCTGTGGAAATTTTAAGAACACAAGCCTTTGGTGCCAGTATAACCCATAGATTTTTCCAGGACGTGATAAAGACTCATTTTTTCCCTAAGCCTGTCTAGTTTTCTGATTATCACTGCACAAGCTTTGCAGTATCTTTCAAGACTTGCAGTTTATGAAACTACTTAATTTGGTTGCCAATTCATTTGAAGTCCTTTATTATCACCTCTCTGCCATATAAATGTGCTTAGAGAGCTCTGACATCCCTGTGAGAGTTTGTCAACAACATAGTGTCAGTCTTTGAAATCCAGACAGTCTGAAATCACTTTGCATAGGCCTCTGTAGACTTGCTACAATAGGTGTTAGGTTCACAGGTAAAGCTATTTCTAAGGTGACAACCACTTCGGTAGCCCCACATGAGAAGTCCACCTTAGGATCTTCCCTCTGACGGTGGCTGGAAGAGCATCAGAAATGAAGAAGCTCATTGCAACACTTGCCAGACTACTCACCCAGCCACTGATTAACTTGTGGCTAAGAGACTTCTGTGCCAAATGTGTCATCTTTGAAAAACTATAAAAGAGAGTTTATCACAGCTGCAGTTTCTGGATATCCAGCAGGTTGCAATCACTGAAGTGCAGCGTCTCCTGAAGCTGCCTGCAGGGAGAGGTCAGAGGAGGGGTTGGCTGAACTGGAAAAAATGATTACAAACCCAGACAAAAATATTAAGACAGAAGAGGGGAGCAAGTGTACTCTATATTGGTAGGAGAGGAACACCTATAAAGTCAGAGAATTTTATCACTCAGTCAGTCACATACCATAAATAAGATCAGTGTAAAATATACTTTGAAGGATTTGCATGTTGAAATTCTACAGTTGGGGTTTTGGTGTTTTCAAGATTTGGTCTATGATAGGAAATAGGTTTTCTGCATTTTCTTTCAGTAAGGGACATTCTTGTATACTCCTGTCTCCCAGGAAGCAGCACCCCAAGAGAAACAAAACACCCAGAGAGTGATAATAAGAGCATGTGAGACAGCAAGGCATATAGAAAGAGCACAAGACTGGCTGCTCTGCCTTGCATAACCCTATCAGAAACAAATGCCTAGTTTTCTCCAAACTGTTGCTAGTGGAGTGTATATAACTCATGTTCTGAGTTGAATCTGTCTCTTACAAAGCTGTACAGAGTGTAATGACCCAGGTTTAGCTGCTGGACCCTCCCTGAGCTTGGCTACCTCGCAAGGTGTGGTGGCATTTGCCTTCCCCACTGATCAGCAGGGCACTCAGAAACACCACGACCTGCAACTCCCTGCAGAGCTCACAGAGTCTCAGCAGCCCTTGGGTAGGACCACACCCAAAAATCTGGGTAACGTGGAACTGGAAAATACAGCATAACTCACCCTGAACAGTTTGTGGTGTTGCTGCTCCCAGATTGCTTTTCATTCAAGCATGATCAAGAAAACAATTACATAAATAGCAGCCAGTGCCACCCTTTGCTGGCAGCTTGAGAGGCTGAATTCTGCTTGGCTTAACAAGTGTGCAGCCTCACTGAATTCCCTGGGCTTGCATGAGGGGCTGACGGCACGCTGAATTATTTGCCCTATGTGTCCTGTGCTAAAATGAACTTGAGCACAGTAAACCATGAAGCCCGAGACTCTAAGTGGCTCTGCAGCCTGTGACACCCATGCAGCACTTCAAAACTGAGAAGCTGAATATGACACTAGCCCCAGCCCTGCTGCACCGTTCGTACCCCGCTGCGTGAGCCCCTGGACCTGGCTGCTGGCTAATGAAAGCAAGTGAAACTAAAGCTCGAGTCACCTGTTTTTGCATGGCTCACCACTATGTATTTTTTTTTTTTAAACAGATGGGAATCTTTCTGCATTTCTGCCTTTTTTTTGGAGGGAGGAAGGAGGAAGGCTCACTGCACTTAAGCCAGCTGCATCTACTGCACAGCTACAGAAATAATTTGGGATGAGATTAGTACAGCTACACATGACCTAGAATACTTGCTAAATTCACAGTAACATGGGGGGACACTGAAGCAGCATCACAAATGAATTACCAACTTAATTTTCTCCACAATAGATGTCACAAGCCGTTACTCGCCTCTTTCAGTCTCAGGCAAGGCCACGTCCTGCCTGCATCCTGGCGGGGCACACAGCAAATGGGACTCGTCCAGGGAGAGTGGCTATCATCAGCTCATCTTGCTGGGGAGAATTAGATGAGTTGAACTTTGTGGCATTTGGTGCCCCAGGGAGTCATTATCTTATAACAAACCTACTATCTCTCGAACCATATTGCAAGACTGTGTCATGCAGATATGTGAACAGAGGGCTGTTTATCACTTGGGCAGCTGTCCAAAGTGCAACCATAGAAAGAGAAGACACTTGAAGATTTTTCTGTTCATGAGGCAGCTTTCATAGATTTGCATTCATGGGGCTTTTCAGAGAAAACAATAACAATTTAAGTTTTTTTTTTCATTATTGCTGCCAGAAGCTGGAAGAAGGGAACATAGCTCTCTATATTTAATGTAAGATACAGGGGAAATGAGGGGGATTGAAATGATGAGAGGGTTTAGGGACATCAAGAAGCCTTAAAAGACGTCTACTGTTAATTTTTTTTTCTACAGAACTTTTTTACAGTTAATGCCTGTGCAAAAGAGATGGTTTAAATATGCAGATGCTTCTTCTCAAAGGCATTCAAATTGTTAGTTAATTAGTCAGCAGCAAGGATTGGCTCCTGTACTTTTTACACATATAAAAGTGGGAATGAAAGCTTTTTTTTCTCTCTCTCTGTTGCACAAAACAATAGATGTTAGCCTGCAAAACCTAGTGGCTGTTCCCTGGTTTTTGTATTTTCCTTCTACATTGTGTTATTGTTTTTCCATGTGCAGAAATCCTTTTTTGCCTATCATTAACTCTTGCATAGTTAATGTCAAACAACCTTTTCCCCTCTGAAGCAGCCTTTTTGAGCATGCAAACAGAAAGCTTGTTCTGGTTTACTGCCCTTCACGCTGTTATCAACAGCTGACGCTCAGTTTCAAAGGGGAGGTCTGTGAGTCACAGGTAGTTCAGGCCCGTGCTGGTACTAGAGCGTTGCCTGGTTTGCTCAGGAGTGTGCTCTAATGAGGAGAGACCGATGCACATGTCTGCCCTGCTGCTGGAACCTCAGTAGTGGCTGGTCCTGTCCCTTGGCCTTGGCCACCTGGTGTTACCTAATCTGGGGAGACTACCAGCCACATGGAAGGTAATGATGGCACGTGTGGCTCGGTTCTACCCTTCCCTGTTTTCTTCCAGGCTGCTGTGGTGGCCTGCAATCTGCACAGCCTCTCCCATTCAAGCCTAGAGAGTGTGAGCAAAGCCTTTTCTCCAGAGTGCAGCTGGAGAACATGAATTTAGATGGCTGGTAACTCCACTGCATGGGGCTAGATTGCTCATGTGGCCTTGATAGCCTGAGCTGCTCTGGTGCCTGGGAAAGCTGCTCTGCTGCCCCTGTCAAGCCAGCAAGGATTGAACCTGGAGCCACAGAGTGTCCCTGTGCCCACACTGAAGCTGTGACTTTCCTACCCCCATTCTTATGCCACCTGAGGCAGCTGCCTGCTTTGCCTTTGTGTAAGACGACTTCCAGCAGGTAGGATCAAGCCTGGACATCCTGTATGTTCAGCATTTCCCCAGGCCAGATCCGGTACCCTTTGGAAGCTCAGGCATCATTAGAAGTAGCCTACTGGCAGCCAGCAAAGAAAAACCACAGGTAAAAGACGGTAAAGCTTCAGAGTCACTGTGGCAAGTTGAGAGATGTTGTAGGAAGGGATGCAGCCATGAACAGGCATCCCAGCGACTCACAGCAAGGAAGTGTTGCAATTTGAAGCCTGAGGGGCCAGAGCAGGATGTAATAGCTCCACTCACATGTGTTTCTCAAGCTTCCTGTTATTTGTTCTTCCACCTACATCTCCCTTCCTCAGTGTCAGGGTGTTTAAGTTGTACCACATGCACCCTTAGACTGAGTGGGACAGTTTCAGAGGTAATGTCTAAGCAATGGTCTGACAGGTTGCTGAAAGTACAGGAAGCTCAGACCCAATGTGTGTGCATTGAGGGGTTGAGGGGAGGGTTTCATTTACAACAGCCCCTGTTCCCTGATGATGTAGCTTCTTTCTTGACTTAAGTGGTAACTGCACTTCTATGACTCAGTACAAAGCACTGCTCTGGTTTTGATATTTTTTGTAGTTGAAAGCTCAGCTGAAGGATTTAAAAGACAGCAGCTTTAATGACTACACAGAAATAGTAAGATGTTTTTGTCTTCAAGGAATTTCTTCTTACATGACAACTTTTTGGTATGAATTACAGAGGAAAGCCAAATCTAACAGACATGGGATCCCTAATGATCAAACCAGTGCAACGGGTGATGAAATATCCCTTGTTACTCTGTGAACTCTTGAATTCAACTCCTGCTTCTCACCCTGACCACAAAGTGCTACAAGATGCCCTTTTTGCTATGAAAAACATTAATGTGAACATCAATGAACTTAAAAGGAGGAAAGACTTAGGTAAGAAAAAGACACAGTAAGTTATTCTGTCTTTGAAGTTTTGGATAGGCAATTATAAGAGCAATTTCAACTCAAATCATATCACTTAAACAGTTTTGGCTAGTGATACCCCAGTTGGGTAATATGCTGGATTTCAAGAAGGTACCAGATGCCTTAATGTCACTTGTCCTCAGCCAGCTATGTTTTCTGACTGGTAACTCCAGAAGTATGAAAATGATGAAAGAATTCATGTTATAGCCCATATAGAATTCATGTTCATTGCCCATAATGCAGTTGTGAACACTGATATAATTAAGATGCAGTAATAGCAATATTTCTTACAGGCTGGCCGTGTTGAAGCCCTAACTTCACTATGCCCAAGTCCAGTGCTGATAACAGGGTTTTCATCATCTCAAGCATTTTCACACAAGATTACAGCAAGTGACATCAAAGTGTCTGCTCTCAAATGGTTTCATATTTGTGTGCCCGTCCTTGTGAAAAGCCCTGTGAATACAGATTATTGGTGTCATGAAATTCTCTGTCTGCAGTGCTGAAGTATAAGAGGCATGATGATGATGAAACCCTTAAAGAAAAGTTTTCCCGACTGAATATCCACTCCATTAGCAAGAAATCCAAGAGGGTCACCAGCCATCTGAAAATACTGACGGGGGGAGAACCTCAGGTACTTACTCATCTAACTGCAGATTTGCGTTGACAGCTTTGGTTCTGTTTTTGCACTGGGCATTTTTAAAAACATGTTGGAAATGGAATTTGTGGTGTTGCTTTTTTTCTGTATCATTTATAAAGTCATTTTCTGACTGTCACAGAAGACAGGAAAGATCTTTGTGATTGAAATAGAAAATAACGTAATGTGTTCTCCACCTTTTCCTTTTTTATTTAAGAGTTTCTCAAAATTCTGATCTTCAGCAGAGAGGAAGTGACTGGTAGTTTTGTGAAACTCAGCCTGAGGTCAGCACTTTGTGGATAGACTGGCAATAGTTACTGTGGGTGCTGAGAACGTGCTCAATCTGCCTTGCTCCACATCATAACATTCAGGTTCTGAACCCACCAAAGAAGATGAGGCTTTGCCTCTATCTGTATAATGACCTGGGACCGTCAAAACTACCAGGGCCAAAGAACCCTGTGATAAGTCCGACGGGTGTTGGGTGGCCCAAAATAGAATGTTCCTTCATAATTTTGAGGTTGTAATTCAAAACCTAGCAGGATAAATGTTCTAATGAATGCTTAAATCCAAATTTAAAAGAAAATAAATTATAACTGACCTTGAAAATTATATCCAGTGTACCTCACTGCATGAGATGGCTGATTATACAAGGTCATTTGCCTCTCTAGATGTGACTTTACAAGGTAAGCACCGTTTTTTTCTGTTTTGCTTTTTATCAGTGGTTTCCCCCTTTCTTTGATGCAAACTACCCACATTTATTTTTTCTGTTCATTTATTTGTACAGTGGAAATTTTTGTATTCAGAGTGGGACACCAGCAAGGCTATAAAAACAGAGGAAAACAGGGAATTAAATTTGATTAAGAGAAGATATTATTTTTTTTTTCTTTAGAAGCTTCTGGTTTATGCTTTCTTGGTTTTCTTTTAATTAAGCTTAAAACAGTTGAGAACTGTTTTAGAAGCAGGATACATCTATTAAAGATTCAGTCCTCTCTCCTGCTTAATTAGACTAAGGAAGTTCCCAGTTCGCATCTCTGAAACACTCTGTCACCGTTACAGCAAGACCACTAAAAACAAGACTTGAGATTTCTCGAATTCCTCAAGTAAAATGTAGACAGAAATAAACGTATTTTCAGTGTTTTTTTCAGCAAGCACAAAGAACTCGTACAAGCCTATTTCCAGCTGCTGAGGTTTCTAGCTGAAGAGCTGGCATTGCTCTAGAGGTAACAGCTCCACCTACAGCCTGCCTGAGGGAAATCTCCCCATCACCCACAAATAAGCACCCATAGAAGTAATGCCATGACATAAAAATATCTTATGATTTTCACCATTGTTTCCTCAAATGAAGCAACAATATAAGGAAAATGAAGAGTTTTATTGGCACACGTAGGTGTGCTTGTAGTAAAGCAACTCCCTGCCTTCACAAGGATTAAAAATCAAATTTTCTGTCACGTTGCCCTGTGCCTTTGGTTTTTCTTGGATTAAAACTGGAGCCTGGGATAATTAGGGGATAATCCGTTCTGTTTACGAAGGGAGGAGTTCAGGGAAGGTTTGGGATTTTTTCCAGCAGTGCTCTGGACGTTTCTTTCATTAGCCAGGCTGGTTTGGGCTCCCAAAATAAGAGTGGAAACATCTATTTTAGGTGAAAGATCAAACTTTTAATAAGGAAGAAAAGTTGTTTCGACGTTTAGAGAAGACTGTGAAATTGTGTGTGAAGAACATTTCACTCTCCTCGCAACATCTACAGGTGGGTGCATACCTTTTGGAAATCTGTGGCCACAAACCATGTCCAGAGCCAGTTTAACACACATCTCTGTCACTGGTTAAGCAACACCAAATTATTTATAAGCAGGCTTGCCTACATCACAATATTACAGAAATGAGCTGTGTTGCTGCTGCATTGCCGAGCTCATGGCAAAGAAATGTCAAAGCCCGCGCTTCCATGAGCAGGCTCTATGGGGACCCAGAGGTGCAGTGCAGAAAAGAAGCTATTGTCTGGTGCACAGTTAGGACCTTCAACAACTGTGTGAAGCCATCATCTGGGTTATGCACATCTGCTGCAGTGGAACACCAACAGCTTCTCACTAAAAATGGAAGAACCGACTTGCAGCCACATGAATTTAAATGTCCTAAAATAGATATAATGTCTTTGCTTTAATCATCCTTTCTGAAAGCTGGCTTTTACCTTACCAACTTTCCCCTCTTCTGGGGATAAGTTGCCAGCTTTGTAGATAGCATGAGGGCCTTCAAAGTCTACGTGTGCCACAACTGGACACAAAGACTGTTTGAGAGGTATGTAAGATCAATAGCCAACTGGCCAGAGCTTATTGCAAATGTATCTTGTTTGGTTCAGCAAACAGGGGAATAGTTCAGCCTCCAATGGGTTGGTGCCTGGAATGGTGTGGACAGTTCCTTATCCAAAGGGATGCACACTTCATTAAGATTAAAATTCAGAAGTAATAAGTGAAATCCACCACTGTAGTCCTACTTAGTCTTCCAAAAGAGGCCTTTGAGGGTGCATGGGTGATGAGCTGGCTTCTTGCTGAGGAGGGCATAATTTTTTCACTTGAACAGTAATAACTTGATTCTTAAATAGTTTACATTGAAAATAGATAAGACACAGGAAAATATTGTCACAGTAAACATTCCCACAATGGCTGGAAACTGCACAGAAACTGCACAGATGTCAGAGATGGAAAATATTTCTGATTCCATCAGTAGTATTGCAGTATCTGCATGAGTGAATGTGGTACATTAAAACAGATCATAATACAGTTTCATCTTCCTACCGTCTTCTCATTTAGGATTCTATACATCTGGCTGCACAAAACATAATTTGGTTTCAGGAAATCTTGCAAGACAAAGATGATGAAGTCAATGACTGTTTGAAGAAACGGGACAACACTGCAAATCTTTGTGAGGACCTGGTAAGTTTATGCAGTGCCCAGTGTTACCTGTATGTGTAAGAAAACAGGTCTGTGCAAGGAAACTAGGACAAAAAAGAGCAAAAAATCTTAGGATTCCATTGGCAAAGATGAGTGGCTTTTTTTTAATTTTTATTTTTTATTTTGAGTTTCTGTAAGAAATAAGAAAATTATGTGTAAGTGCACTATGTTTTCCTTAAAAGAGCTACAGAAAACTTCCCAAGCTGAATTCCTGAGTTTAAACTAAAATCTTTGTGTTAAATTTGCGTGTTTCACCTGAGCTTCAGACAAGAGGAGCAGATCTTTGTTTTGCAACTGTTGCTAACAACACTTGCAGTTTTAGAGTGACTTCTGTGATCTTTTATGCTCATGAACTATTAGCTGCTGGAATCATAGATCTGTGAAAATCTCTGCTTTATTACCTGTTCAAGTAAGTGACTATCCTTCCTATAGGGAAACCATTAAAAATCTGAATACAGCCCAAGCTAGTAAAAAAAAAATCATTATAGTTTTTCAACTAGTCTATTTGTTTTAGGGTCCAAATGAACTCTAATGCCTGGCTGTACTAAGTTAGACTGAACTGTCTCTTCAAAATGGGGCAGGCTGCTTCTTCAAACAGCTGCTTAAGCTGGAAAAATTCAGAGGTGAAGGTTGTCTTATAGTTTCCTAGGTTTGTGCTGACTGAAATAGGGCCATTCAATCCTTTCCAAAACACTGAAAACAGTCTGCCAAGAAACAGAAGGATCTTTGACAGACCACATCCTCCCAGATAATGACAGAGAAGTAAGATGTTGTATTTCCTTTCCTTTGAAGTTCCCGCATTTGAAAAGAATCTGAAAAACTAATCACAATAATCAGAAAGATATTTTCAAAGTCTTTACAATGAATAAATGCATAAAGTGCAGAAGAGTACCCCTTTATAATTGCAGTGGTGAGTTTGTCCACTCTGGAAGATGCCCCCATATTCAGAAACATCAAAGAAACGTGGAAGTAATTCTACAATAGAGGAAACAGAAAACTTCAGAAAAAACTTTGTAACTCCTATTGGCTCATGACCCGGCTATTCTGAAGGTCTATGTAATTAAAAAAAAAAAAAATCTTATTTGTTTTAACAGTGGACATTGTTATTAACCATTTTAATTTCTACTTATTATCTATTTATTTCAGTGTCTATGATTTACAAGTTTAAAAGGATTCTCTATCCTATGTATAAGATTTTTTTAAAAACCTTTTGTTCTAACATTGCATGATGAGTAGATGTTCTCACCAAACAATCCATAGCGTTTTTCACATATTTTCCTGTACGTGTATTATCAATGGAGATCTCAGAAATGGGCTCAGGTTAATCTTGTTTGGGATTTTTTTTTCCTATGTATATTTGCCAATAATTAACAACTTCCTCTCTCATTATATTGTAGGGGAGATTTTAGGGCAGAAATCCCTAATAACCTCTTCTCTTCCAGAAATCAGATGGAGCAGTTTTGAAATTTTTTTTTTCTTAATGCATCAAAAATTGGTTCACTAAACACAACCCAGTTTTTCAGGTGGAAATCAAGTAGGAGCTATCTTGGTGTACATAATTTTGGCCTTGGAAGAGCAATTCTGGTGCTAAACTAGACCTATCCTCAACTGTGGTGTTGTATGGAGGGTAGAGAGAAAGCTGTTCTTTTATTCTCACTCTCAATCCAACAGCTTAATTCATGTAGAACGTCCAAGAGCTTTAGTAAGATGCTGAGTTCCATTCACTACAAGCCAGTGCTGTATTTGGACAACTGACTTACAAAAATACATTTTATTTCATGCAATAATAAACCTTTGAGAAAATTAAAGACTAATGGAAAAGTCTGAGAAAGAATTTTTTTTTTTTATTAGGTGTCTAATTTTGTTGATTACTAGAAATAAAACCAACAAGCGTAACATAATTTAATCAAATCAAGTGATTGTTTGTGTTTGCTTAAACAGGAATTGAGCTACAGCTGTTCCCGGGGGGGGAAAAAAAAAAAGGCTTTGGTGGCATTCAAGACTGCAAGACAGTCATTTTAGCAAGACCTCATTGCCTCTAGACTGCATATTGGCATGGGCCTTCCAATTGTGGAAATCCTACTTGTATTGGACCACTTCACTGATCCTTGCCTGGTTTTAACTCAGCAGTACCAGACTAAGGGCAGTACCACAGGCTGTGTGCGCCAGGGGACCATTATCAGACAGTTGAAGCTGCAGAACTGTTACCTCTCCTTTGCAATATTATGAAGGAGATTCTAATTCATGCTAGACCCTGCTTGAAGCTGCTTCTGACAGCAATGCTTTGTGAAGAGCAGTTAACAGATTGCTTGATAGGCTGCCATCAGGCTTTGCCTGTTACTGGTCCTGAAGGACTGTATGAATACAGTAATACATAGATCTGTTTTATACCTTTCCAGATGGGGCAGCTGAACAAGCTCGTTTTGACTCCTCTCTCAGCACTGCAAGCTTTGTTTTCAGGCCCACAGAAGCTCATCCAGAAGCGCTATGACAAGTTGTTGGACTACCACAGCTACCTTCAGAGGTCAACAGGAGAAGAGCTGGACCTGGCAAAGAAAGACTATGAGGCTCTAAATGCACAGTTAGTGGAAGAACTTCAGGTATTCAACAGAGCAGCCAAAAAAATTGTGTTGAACTGCCTGCATTGCTTCATCACCCTCCTCAGGAATATTATGTCTGTAGCACTCCAATCAAATTCTGCTGTGGTGGTGCCTGTTCCAGTAAGTACAACAGAAACAGGTGTAGCTCTCTACCTTCATTTGTCTTTTTTCTTTCTGTATGATTTGGCTAGAGTCATGCAGGACACACAAACTACCTTGATTTTGTTTGTTCTGCAAAGCACAGTCAGGTTTGGGTTTGTTTGTTTGTTTGTTTGTTTTTTAATTGAAAGCTCAGCGAAGGTTAAGTTCTGAGTTTAAGTTTTGTCAGGCCTGGACTTATCATCCAGAATGATCCTAATGCAGCTGTTCCAGCTGCTACAGTGATAGTAATGGCAAGAACATCACAGTAAGGCAAAAAGGAGGCAGCTGCTAGCATTTTAGTCTCTGTTTCTTAGTGTCTACCCTGAGTAGCCCGGAAGAATGTACAAGAACATTCCTGTTGCTGCTAGACCTTCAGAGCCACAGAGGGCTGCAGAAGAGAAGCAGGTTAGGACATCTGGTGAAATAATTTCTGTGAAAAGCAAGTTGCTTTTAAACCCAAACTTGCTGCAGAAGCTCCTGCAGACATCTCTAGGCAGTAAGGAATATCTTTGTCTACACTGGCACTTTTAGAAAGTTCAAAACACTTCACTTATGTAGCCAAAAGTACCAAAGAGGACTGTCTGAGCTACACAGAAGGGCATCAGTTCCTCCATCCCACTCTACTATTCCTGGGCACTACGATCATTACCTGAAGATCTAAAGACTGAAGTTGAGAAAATCTTCTTAATTTCTGTAAAAATCCTACAGTGTTTCAGTTTTATGGTACTTTTGCCTATAGAGCTTGACACATCCTGAGAAACACAGGGGCAACAATGCCTTCCACATGTCCACATCCCCTCACCTGAACTGGAGCAAGGCTCCAGGTAGGAGACACTTTGTAGTGAGGAGATACTGAAGTATCGCCTTCCGTCAAGGCTTGGACACAGCACTTTATAGTAAGGGCAGCTGAAAAATTAAGAAAGCAAGGTCAGGATCAAAGCATAGAGCTGTGCTGTTTATTGGGAAAATGTATGTTTTTCCTGCGTGAAGAAATTGCATCCCTGTAATTTGACCATTTCATGTTTTGAAAGCTGTTGCATCGAGCACTGTTTTCTGTGAGGCTCTGCCTAAAAAATTATTTTTCTTTTTCCTGTTTTACATCAGCAAATACCTTTGGGCTTACACGTATACCAAAAGCCCTTATCCAGTGCCACAGACAGCTTCAGCTTACCCAACTGCTGCCGTGGGGGGTGCAGAATCTCAGGAAAGTCTTAAGGAAGAAGGGGTCAGTGCCTGGGGGGGGGAGGCTGGGAAAGGACCCCTGAGAACCTGACCCAGAAGAAGAGCCTGATCTGCACCTCCCTCGCCGCTGAGTCTAAGGGAGATTTCTCCCATGCGAAGGTCTCAGTCTGTCTCTTTCCAAAAGGAGTCTTTGGAGTGGGAAGCACAAAGGGCATTTAATTTCTTAAAGCTGACTTGGTATCATTCTCTTTGTTTAATTCCTTCTTTGCTGGCACTTTTCTTATTGCTAGACGTGCCACTGGATTCTGCATCATCACGGTTTGGATGCTTTTCTTTGTCTTCAGGAATACTTTGTGTAAGGTCTTTTGAAGAAGATTTTTCAAACACTGAATATGCCATAAGGAATTCCAGAGATCCAAACGCATCGTCCAGTTCCCTGCAGGTTCCCCTTTCTGCAGTTATACTATCCTCAGACCTGACCCTTAATGGTTTCGGTGTGCTGGTAATCAGTGCTGCATAGGGATCGTTTAAGTGAACTGCATTTCAGCGAACCTTTACCGCATTTAAGCGAGCCTCATTTATGGGCACCGACCCCAAACCTTTGTTTCTGTGTCTGAAAATTTCCATATAGAAACTAAGTCCATGGTCACTGTCCAAGTCTTTGGTTTAAAAGCTAACTCAGGGTCAGGAGTATGATTCTGTATGCAGCACCATCCTAAGTTTCTTTATGGTGCCTTTGTTGCATTTCACCCTTCTCTCAGAGAGTATATGTAGCAGGATCATTACAGTCCCGCTTTCCTCCTGCCTTCCTTGTTGCGAACGCAGCTGTCAGGGACCCCTCACCATGTTCGCAACCATTGCCACCTGTGACTTCACTTGTGCTCTAGTCACCCGACTAATCATCTCGTCCACCTCAGTGTCTTGTGGCAACATTGCTAGGATCTGTCTAGTTTGGCCATTTGAATTTTCATAGGCTAACACTTTAAACATTTGTTGTTTCATATTTTTTGTTAAATCCCTGTTACCCATTAAAGCTTCCCAAAGCCGATCTATGAAATGGCCATACTCCTCATTAGGGCCCTGTCTGACAGCTGCAAAGGACGGTGCTTTACTCTCATCAGGAACTGTATAAATTGCTTGATTTGCTAGCTGAGAGGACAGTTGCCACACTTCCGGACGGTCAAGCGCCTGTACTGTTCCCATAGCATAATTACCCTTACCAGTAAGCATATCTGGATTAATCCCATCCAATGGATCCCCTGCCTGCCGTGTTTTTTGACATTCCATCGTTGCCAGCCCGCCCCATTCTGCCTCCCACAATAAAAG